AGTAGATTCTGTATATGAATGCAGACTCTGGAGAACAAGACTTTGGCAGAGAAAGAAGCAGTCTGGTTTCTGTTTCTGTTCTGTAGTCCAAGGGGTGTCTACCAGGCATGTCTGAACGGCAGATAAGCAGTCTGTTTGGAGAGGCGGAACACATTGGCTGAAATGCAATCTCAGAACCCTTCAGCTATTGTCTGACGATGATGTAGCTTTATATTAGCTTTTTAAAAAGTGTAGCTGCACTCATACTCAAATGTATTTTTATACAGTTTAGCTGAAAGGGCTGGCACATGCAAGAGTAAACCTTGGCCTGGATATCACTGGCTACACCAGAGAAAATAATGGTGGTCGCATAGCTATGTCACCACCATGACAAGACTGTAAAGCTGTGCTCGGTGTAATGACGTGCTGTTGTCTCCTTTAGCCACTTGTCAGCAACCACCTTTTTTTAAAAAAAACACATAAAAGCTATAAAATTTATGAGTAGGGTGTTTACTGATGTATTTTATGTTTTAGAGCAAAAAGTGATTGTCTCTTAAACTTAAATGTCTGAAGGTATCTGTTAACCACAGACCTTCAGACATCTAACCAAAAAACTATTCAGAAAACCCACTGATTTGAGACAAGGGAACCGGGAGCACTAAAATGCTAACTCATTTCCAGGTTTTAGGATTCATTCCTGCAGCACTCTCTTGCCCCCCGGAGGCTTATCACCAGACCGCCAGCCAGAGGCTTCCAGTATTGTCTGTTTTGTAAATGGATGAATGTTCTCAGAATGTACTTGTACTTCCTTATTATATAATGGTTTTACTGATGCGGCCCACTTGAGATCAAATTGGGTTGTATGTAGCCCATGAACTATAATGCATTCTGTATGTTTATATGTACTAACTTGGTTTTGAAGGAAAAATAACTGCAGCCTGGATTATGTTCACTGGAAAAAATATGACAGATAGTTGTAGAATGTGCACATTTCCAAACTGTATATACAGTATAAATGAGTTGTCTTACATGTTTTTAACTCTAAATATGCAGATTAAGTATTACGCCAAAACAATTATTATGGCTTATGACTCAAAATAGCATTTTCAAAGCATGTTATGTTTCCTGAGGTCTGAATGGAAGTGACCGCAGTCATGTCAGACAAAAAGCCCAAACGTTGTGTTCATATACGAAGCCTTTTCCACAGCTCTCTTTGTGTGTCCAGGCCTACAGCTTCACAAAACCAGATCATATTAATAAAGACACTATTTACAGATAATGAGATAACTACTGTGATTAGTGAATCTGTCCTCTCATTTATGTGGAATACGCCCATGATGTCTGGAATTACTACTGCATGGAGTCACAGCTGACACAGACGACATCATAGAACCGTTAAAAGACTCAAAAATTGCCTTGTGACTCACGACCTGACCACGATCACTGACAACATCCAGTAAAATTAACTTGCAATTAAGCTACACTGGAAAGCGTTTATAAAATAGGGATCGCCTCATCGAGTGCTCATCATCATATAAACAGTACTGGGAAGCTTTTTGAAGATGTGCGCTCAGGGGAGATAAGCAGGAGTCTCTTTGTTCCTTCTTTTAAACACTGTCAAATTGATTTATCTGTGTGTTTGCAAACACTCAACTTTTTCTGTGTCATCCTGGATAGGTGTGGGAGGTTATCTAAACAAGGTCTGAAGCAATTCCTTTGGTGAATGTTAATAAAATGAAATGTAGCGGTTAAGGATCATTTGATTACATTATATTTTCCCACGTACAGAGATGATACGCTATGAGAGAATTTAATTATGTAATTTCAATAAATAAAGTGTTATTCTATTATGTTATGTGTGCTTTGCACATACGTCGTTTATGAACAGTCAGACGTACCGCTTTTTCTACTGACCTGAAACAACCAGGATGTTTAAAACAATATCTTTACATCACCAACACTCCTGCACGTACGATGTCAGCAACTAGGAAACCACAAAAGTTTATAAGTTGTTTGTTCCCCTCCAGTGTTCTGGCTGGGTCCTATCTCTGAGAACTGCTTTGTGAAACACTCCATCAAAGTGCTGAGGTAAAGGGTAAATTTCAGAGATAATGTGACCTAAATAAACATCCTAGTCTGTGGGGTATTACCAGCTCAGTCAGAGCAACAAAAAAGACCATCTGAATCACAGTAGATCTCAAAGTAAATAGACCACCAGGGTATTAATAGTCTTTGACTTTAATAAGACAGCTTTTATTATCTCAGCTTCATATATCTGTCTGTTGAATTGTGATAAATCTGCTGAACTAAACTCTACTTTACAAGTAGGCAAGGAGTGCTGAGAAGCTGAACAACTACCCAGCGGTGTAAATATTCAAAATTATAAAATTAATCACACAGTGATAGTTAATGTGTGTTGACTCAAGGGAAACAGCTGCTCTCACTTCCATGAAAGGAGCGGTGTTGGAGCAAAGGCTGAGAAGTTGCTGGGCCCCGATCAAATATGCAGGGTATCTGTATCCAGTAAACACAAGTTAACAAGCGTTCATACCTAAATGATTGCATAGGTGGTTTGTTGGGTCCTTCTAAAACAACTCATGTGAGTGCTTTGTGATCTACTAACTCCATACTTTAAGTTGAAGAAAATTTCAGACAAGCTGTTGTAGCCTACATAAAGGAATATTTAGCAGCTCAAGAGTCAGATATTTCCTTTAGGAGTTGGCACAGACAAAGACAAAGCTATAAGGAGAGTGAATGTTGGACTTACATGCCCCTGTCTGGGTTTAGCTTTTCCTGTGGCCCTTTTTCATTGGAAACAGCTAAAGAGTACAAATATCTGGTTTGATCTTAACAGAATACTTAGATTATAATGAAGCTGTCAAGCATTTAGCAATGCATGCCAGTAGAGCTCTGGGTGCAGTTATAGCCAAATGTAAATGCATGGGTGGTTTCCCTTTCAAATGTTATACTAAACTGTTTGAACACCAACAGACCTTCAGGTAAGTTAATTAACGTATTGTTGCTAACCTAACTTAATGAGTGGTGTTTCCCAGGCTTGGCGGTCCACAGGCTATGTACATGGTTCCAAAAAATTGTGTTGAAAATGATATACTATGGCGCTGTATTAGTTTATAGCCGACGTTCAGCGCCCCCACGACAACCTGATTATGTAAATGTGTATTTCATCTATCTATCTATCTACATTTAAAGTACACACAAACTTCAGTGCTTCATAAATGCAAATGTTTCTCCATAATTGCTGAATAAGTTTAGGGACAGACTGTGTTCACATTTAGAAGAAAACAATGTTACTGTCAGTAGGAAATAGCACGCCAACCAGAGTCTCTGGTGTCAAGTTACACACTTGTTATCCACCACGGCCTCCTCTTTAAGAGAGTTTGCAGCAGCATTAAGAGCATCACACTGCAACATGTCTCTTGCTAGAGAGGACAGTTTCAAACTGGAGGTAGCATGTTCCATTTTAATTAAAATTTCCCCCTTTTTACATTATTTGGAAGGGTCCCTCATGAGTGCCAGTTGCTGCTGCTGTGAGTGCAGTGCAGGGTTAGTCCAATTTATCTGAGAATTACATCCATATTAACCAATTCTGACCAATTTACTCAGTGCCATTCCAACATCTGTATTTTTCATGTCACAGCCAACCAGCCAACCAACCACCCAACTAACCAACCAACCAACCAACCAACCAACCAACTAACCAACCAACCAACCAACCAACTAGAAAGAAAGATGCCTACATGCAAAACAAAGGACACAATCCCTCACCCACTTCCCACCCACACACTGTCAAGCAGGTCTTTTTCACAGCACATATTTGACTTGACACACCACTAACCAAATCAATAATGGCTGCATTCCATGTAAGTGTGACAGTGATTCTGTTATTGTGCTTGCTCACTGCACCCTTTGATATGTTAACAAGTGACTGAATGGGTGTTATCAGTGGTTATTAGCCTCACAGATACGGTTTAGAAGCATGGCTTTTATAAACTAATGGACCTAGCAACCATGATGTCCCCCATTGGTTTGCGGACTCCATTGCGGAAGCCATCTTTTTTTTTGTGGAGCCATGAGTGACCATAAATGTCACCAGAGGGTGAGGACTTGGACCATTTCAGATGTTCCTCTTTACCAGTTTGACACGAAGGGGACAGAAGTGACAAGGTTTCCAAGTAATAACAATAATGTTTATTATATGTATGAACTAAAAACAAGATGTAAGAAACAATGTTCGTTGGCAACCATAAAGACCTATGTGACAGTCCCAGGCAAAGCTAAAACCTGAGCATACAAAAAATGTGGCTGTGTAAGTTAAGAGCTATTAGTCAGGGGGAGGGTAGCAGTATGCCAAGCCAGGGGAAATATTAGGGGAAGACCAACTCAAGCCAATGCAAAAAAAGGGGAGTGTTGTTACACACACACACATGCGAGACACGCAAAACTAAAGATATGTGCAAGGTGAGAGCACAGCAAACAACACTCAACCGTGCAACAGGAGTGGATGCTTGGAGAGCTGGTCCCCGGCCTAGACAGGCCCTAAGAGATAGCACTGTTTCCTCTACTGTTGACACAACCTTTTACAAACTCTCAGAAAAGATAAATAGATTAAAAGAATAATCCTAGAAACTTGACAGTCATGAAATGGGTTAAATCAGGTCTCACTACAGAAAAAGACAACAATGTTGTAATTTTAAATAGTGGTACTAAGACTCTTTCCACTGCAAAGAAAAAACAAAACAAAACAAAACAAAACAAAACAAAACAAAAAAAACTCATACCTCCTCACATACCTTCTACAGCAAATAGTAGGCGTTTCAGGAAATAAACCCAACCCAAGGTTTGCCTTCCTTGTAGCCCTACACTAGCTAAACAACCCAAACTAGATTTTAATCTTGGACAGCTGCAGGCTACAAGAAGTGACAAGGAACTTATGGAGTTTGTGGCTGGATATGTGGTGGATGACATGTTGCCTATCTCCAGGACTGACTCTCCATCTTACAGATAGATCCTTGGGGAAAAGACTGGTCACAGGCAACAGAAGACCCTCAGGTAAAATAATCATTTGCAAGCTATCTAGCCTTAGCTGCACTTACTGTTGGCAACCTTGACATTCACACGGAGGCGCACATGCAAAATCGGAATTTTGAGGAGAAAGGGTGCAATTAGCCATTTTCTGGCATGTAATCAGGAAAGTAATATCCCAAGTAGTGTAACAAATTATTGTTGGCAGGGAAATGTATCGCGATTCACAAGTAAAAAAGCAATAAACTACATTTTCTGAGTAAACCTAAGACTGTGGAGGACAAGCCTTGACTAGGACAGAAACATCCTCTGAATTCCTCTGGTGGAGCAGAGGATCGGGGGGAAGGGGGGGTGATACAGGTATTTAGACTGTATCTGTGTGTGCTGGTGTTCCCGCTTCTCTCTGCGTGCTTGTTTGGGTATGGCATCTACAGAGCATGATGTAGGCTGGCACAGAGCAATCTGCAACCAGCCACGTTTAGATGTATCCCATCAGGCTTAAAGCTTTCTGTACAGTAGAGCTCTGAATCTCTGCCTGAGCTCGATTGGGTCCAATCCAACCCGCCAGGTTTGGGCCAGAGTGGGCTGTAATTCCTCATGATTGTCTGGCCTGAACTGGGTCAGGTTCTCTCTCTCTTTTTTTAACCAAAACTGGCAGCACTTATACATAAATGGCAGGAGATTAATGGACTGAATAAACAGGGAAAGAGAGAGGAAGAGGGTGGACTGTGACTGGCAAGGCAATTTAGATGGTAGGATTACCTTCTGCCTCCCGAGGAGTGGGAGTGATGCGTGTAACATGCAGCAAAGAGAGGTGATCATCATCTGTGTGCTATACCGTGATGAGACGTAGTGTGAGGAAACTTAACAGGACTTAGGTTGTAGTGTATGTTTTAATATAAAAAATACAATATGATATATATGTTTTTTCACGTAAGAATTCAGGTTTTTAATCAGGCTCGGGCCTAAAACTGCTACAGTTTGATTTTCAGTCATTGCCATTCTTACATGCTTTGTTACCCAGTCTCCAATCAGAACAGTGCCTGGCTTATCAGATGTGAAGTTAGAAACATAGACTTTTGGTTTCATGCGAGACACAAACACCATTCTCCTGGGTCAGAGTCCTGTGTTTGTTTGATCCATCCATCACTACGACCTTCTCCGTATGCAGACTTTGTTGCTCTTTATACTACATCATCTGACTTCCTCCTTTGCTCCCATCATGATTACTACAGCCACTAGAGGTCACTGCCTATGCTCCCGATGGCAACTGACAATCGTCATTTGATGGGCTGATTATAGCCTTCTGAACCTAACAGTAGGTGTATCCGTCCCCTTCACTATGAGGCTGATAGCGACTGATAACAGCCATTTAATAGACTGTACCTAAATGGTACAGAGCTATCATTTTTTTCCTAAATCTTTACTGAAAGAATCACATCACAAACAGTCAAAAGTGTCTTGGATATGAGGTGTGTAAAGCCGACTACAGGAGTTTTAAGACAATTTATTCTCCCCTCACAACAATTGGAGGAGAAATCTGGTCTGGGATCTTGATCTGTACCAGACTATCTGGTAATGTGAGAAGTTAACGATCCAGTCTGGAGCCTCCTGGACTGCTTGTATGCTCAATGGGGTCACTTCAATAATTCCAAACATGTTTGACATTTAGGAGTTAAAATCTGGATGGTTACAGTTATGATTACGTCAGTAGCCCTTGAGGCTAATGTTAGCTAGAATACTACTGTTGACAGATATTAAAACTGACAGTTATAATCTCACCTCCAGTTCTCACTGAGGAATAGACAACCCATGTTGACTATCTCTCCCCAACCATTCATTTAGCCTTCTGCTTTTGTTTCTTTCAATGAAAAGCACTGTTAACATTACAGCAAGTTGTCACACTATGTCAGTCTCATAGACTTATAAAGAGAACTGAATACAGCGTTGGAGGCAAAGCCCAATTTATTTCTATTAAAGCTGGCGCATGAAGCCAAAAAAGTTCGATTTCCGCATCATTCATTTGTTTATTCAGTCATCCATTTTTCGTAACCGCTTAATCTGTTTGGGTTTGCGGGGATGCTGGAGCCTATCCCAGCTGACATCGGGTGAGAGGCAGGGTACACCCTGGACAGGTAGGCGGGGACAGAGACAGACAGCCATTCACACTCACATTCACACCTACGGGAAATTTGGAGTCACCAATTAACCTGCATGTCTATGGATTGTGGGAGGAACCCGGAGTACCTGGAGAAAACCCACGCTGACATGGGGAGAACATGCAAGCTCAGCACAGAAGGGCTCCCCCACCCTGGGTTCAAACCAGGAGCCCTCTTACTGTGAGATGAGAGCCACTGCACTACATTGTCGCCCTGTTCCAAATGTATCCATTGATTTTCAAATGTCAAATGGATGTTGTAGGTCCACGGACTGACAATTATGTGAAACTGGCTTCTCAGCTCAGCGCTCTTCCCTTGGGGCTTAGCTGTTCCTGCTCACCCATGAGATCACGTGAAGTGGTGTATTCATACTCCCTCTGGCACGATAATCTTAATAATATCCTGTAGTGTGTGATGCCCCATTATTTTCAAATCTTGTAACGGACACATGTTTGAGATGAGAGAGACCATCTCTGTTTCATAAGTTTCTCCTTATGTATGTGATGCAACCCGATTTCAAAATCAGTTAGGATTTTAAAATCCCTCTTTAATAAAAACATTACATGCAAAATGGCCAGTTTGGTCAGTTACTGTCACATTTTGACCACATTGAGATTTTCTGTCCCCAAAAGACATTCAGCTGTAAATCCAGATGTAAGCTTTTTCAAAATGTCTCGTTAAAAAGCCTGTGGTGACTTCACGGATGCTAAACACTGTGCAACTGTATCCACTGCTGTAATCAAAACAGTGGTTATTGGCATGTTGTTTTACAACATGCCAGTCTACTCCCTACCATTGTTGATGACTTAGCTGCCTATTTCTTACAAAGAACTTGTGAGGTGCAATAAAAGCTCAATCAGCAGCTCAAGACTAACCAGACTAAGGTGTAAATAAGCACAAACTTACTGTGCAACACAGAATAAATAGAGAAAATCCACTTACAAATAAAAACTGGATAATGCCTGGGATGATGCACTTAGTCTATTAAGCATTTCGACTTCCCACCCACATTATTGGATTTTGTAGATCACTGCAATTATAATTGACACAACAGCAACCACAACTGCTCCTAAAACTGCACTATACTCAACCCTTATTCGTTGTCTGCCACCTGTAGATGCAGACAGGTAGTATTCTTCACTGTGCACCTATATTTAAATAAGCTGCTTATGTGTTACAAGTACTGTTTAAGTTGTTGATGACTGCACTTTCCTTGGCACTTTCCTTGGCATGTTTGATGCACTATTGCTGCTCTGATTGTGGAGAGTATCTATTGCCAACAATAAGGCTTCTGTGCAATCAAACAATTAAGTCACACCGCGTAGAGTTATATATGGAAAATGTACTACATATGTGTGTGTGGAGAAATAAAAGCATTGTGGTTCCGGCCCTTAGCTGACCACTCAAGATAAGTTAAGATGGCATTATCAGAAATTACAGATGCACTTCCACCATCTCTCAGAAGGGTCAAAACACTTATTGCGGCTTTCTGCCCCTGCCATTATTATTTGCGTTGCACTTAATGCACTGTTGAGCTACTAGAGTAATAATCCTCTGATCATGCAGAGCCAGTGGTGTTGATGCAGACGACTCCTGAGAGCAAGTGGGGCTGAATGTTTTTCTTTGCTGGTGCCTAACCACTAAATGAGTTACAGATGAATTATCCTGCCCTTCCACCACACAGGCCTTTCAACTGCAAAAATGAGTTTGCCCATTTCCACTGCAGTATCCGCAGTCCATTTACTAACTGCGAATCACAGTCATTAGCAACATACAAAGGAAATGCGGTGGAATAAACAAAAGTCTTCCATCATCAGTCAAGAGGAATCATGTTGGTTGATCCGTGTGTCTTTATGTCCGCCACGCACCTCAGGCTACAGACTTGTTTCCACAGAACATGACTTGGTTATCAACATGAAAAAACAGTGTTCCTCTATGTAAATACTTGTTAAAACCTACAAGATTGTTGACAAGTACGTCTGTGGTTCCAGAATAAACAGTTGAAGTGGAACAGGTCAGACAAGTTAATACAAGGAAATGAGGCCAAAGTACGAGCTGATGCATAATGAAAAGAGGGAGTCTGTCTGTCAACTCAATCGATCCTGTGTGGACAAAATGCCAGACGAAGTATGTTCAGAATGGAAACAGGTCTGTAGATATTTGCAAAATGATCAGTAAGAGTGCGACTAAGGTGAATTCAGGCAGGTGTTTAAATGGAATAGGATCAGTCATGTCCAGAGCAACCAAACACAGTGGTGAATGCATTCGGATCCTTTGTAAATAAAACTACTAATCCCACGCTGTGAAAATACTCCACTACAAGTATAAGTCCTGCATTCAAAACCAACAAGTATGTCAGCAAAAAGTGTCAAAAGTAGTCATTGTGCAGTAAAATGCTCCTTGTCAGTGTTTTACCATTATATATATATATTTAGGATGTTTTTACTGTTGCATTAATGTGTATGTTGCATTTTACTAAATGTTTGAGGTTGTACTCATTATAACTCCTTTATATACTGCTGGCGTGGTTTAATCTACAGCAATGCATCTGATTCTTTAAGATTATCATATGTTTGTAGCATGGCTGTCCCGTGAGAATTTCTAAAACTTCAACTTTTCATGGTATCAGAAAACCAACCCTATGTTCAGCTTTGTAACAATGCATTTTCCAGCTAGACCAAGAGGGTTTTTCAAGAGTTTATCTAGCCACACAAGTCAGACAAAACACAAAAAGGAGCACTTAATCCTTCAGTTTATTGCAAACATTCGAAATCACCAAATTTGGAGATACATTGTTTTGGTTGGACAAGAAGGGAAAAACAAAAATGTCATCTCTAAGCTGTCAGATAAATGCAGTGGAGTAACAAGTACAACATTTGCCTCTTAGATTAGGCAGAAATACTCAAGTTAAGTACAAGTACTTTGCATTTGTGCTAAAGTACAGTACTCTACAACAAGAGCACAACTTTCAGTGTTAATGCACCTCTTTTTTTATCCTCTGTTCTTTTTACTGTAAGTGTGTGGCTGCATGGTCTATGATGTCATTGTGCTCGATGCTGTTTGTGCTGCAGAGTAGAAGAGACAGACCAGTCCTACTTTGAAAAGTTTCCCACCAGCTGAGGTTGTGAGGAAGCAGCCACCTGCTTCAGTGCCCTCCCTCTACTGCTCCGACATCTGGCAGACGAGGCAGAGAGGCGAAAGAGACACACACTACTCATCAGCCCCGACAGAAGATCAACAGACTGGCTGCACTGCGCTGACACCAGACAGAAATACAGCGGTAAGTAAGGGAAACTTGCTAGAGAAAGATTTGATTAGACTGAAAGTTTTACTTTTGTTTGTTTTTTATGTTTAATTCATGTTTTCATTATTGTTGAGGGGAGTTGACTTATAGATGTAGCTGTAATGGAACATGTTGCATCCTGTGTTGAGCACATTATCAGTTTGTATAGACAATCTTTTATGGTGCAAGCTTCACATATCTCTCTAAATCAAAAGGCAAACAAAGGTGACAATGCAAATAGCCATTCAGCATGACTGAATTAAATGAATGGATCTATGCTTTCATATCATTCATTTATTACTCACGACGCAAACTGTGCATCAGAGCTACTCAGATCATTTACAGTAAAGCACATAACACTCTAATTCTCTGAATGCATTTTACATTATTGATGACAGTGAGAAAAACGTTTCAATAAATTGCCTTTGTATTTTCAATTGAGGATGCCAGTTAATGTAACAAGTATGCAAGTTATTAAATCATTTATCACCTGAGGCACAGATATATAGACGGCAAAAGAAACATCAGTATGCTGCAGTCTCCTTCAGTACAGAAAAATCTATCAGAATGTCATCAGTCTAGGGGATTTTCAGTGTGTCAGGTTCAACTCTGAATTCTCAAAAAGAAAAAACAAAAGAGTAATTGAGGCTTTTATTACCCAGAAAAAAACAGAACCTTTTTTACGTAACAGGATGACTGTCTAAAAAGTTTATCAACTTCCTGAGTTTCCTCCAGAGTCTGCACAGCAGCAGAATATAGAATCAATCTCTGAAACGATCTGCCACACTCTGCAGGTCTCTTTTGCTTTTTCTTGCATGACGGCATGTTTTTGTTTCTCTCATTCACATGCTCTCTTTTGCACACACCATCATATCATCTTTCTCTGTGTCTTTGCAGCTGCAGGTGTGGCAACAAATGGAGCCAAATCTAACAGACAGTGTAGAGAGCAACTCTACCATCTGTCAATCCATTGATGACTTCCGTAATCAGGTTTACTCCACATCCTACTCCCTCATCACTGTGTTGGGCCTGGTAGGGAACGGCTTTGCCCTGTTGGTGCTGATCAGAACGCACCGCCAGAGCTCACCTTTTCATGTCTACATGCTGAACCTGGCTGTGTCTGACCTGCTGTGTGTCATGACCCTGCCGCTGAGAGTTTACTACTATGTCAACAAAGGTGAATGGAAGCTGGGGGATTTCCTGTGTCGCATCAGTTCCTACGCCCTCTATGTAAACCTCTACTGCAGTATCTACTTCATGGCCGCCATGTCCGTCACACGGTTCTTGGCCATTGTGTTCCCTGTGCAGAACATGCGGCTGATGACAGAGAATCGTGCCCGTCTGGTGTGTGTGGGTGTCTGGGTGTTAATCTGTCTCTCATCCTCACCCTTCCTGATGGGTGGCCAGGATTTTGATGACAAAACAAATAAAACCAAGTGCTTTGAGCCCCCAGACGAAAAAAAAGATATGCAGAAACTAGTTGTGCTGAACTATTTGTCTCTAGTGATGGGCTTTTCCCTGCCTTTCCTGGTTATCCTGATCTGCTACGCAGGCATAGTCCGCGCCCTGCTGTCCCGCACCAATGCTGCCCGACGCCAGCGGGACACAGGCACCAAAGCCATCCGAATGATTGTCATTGTCCTGCTGACCTTCCTAATCAGCTTCATGCCATACCATGTGCAGCGAACCATCCACCTGAACTTCCTGTCTCGGCATGACACCACCTGCTCAGAGCGGATTGCTATGCAGAAGTCTGTTGTGGTAACACTGTGCCTGGCTGCTGCCAATTCATGCTTTGATCCACTGCTTTATTTTTTCTCTGGAGAGGGTTTCCGCAGTCGCTTGACCTCCTTGCGCCAGTCAATGAGGGCCAGCACTGTGCACCATGTAGCCAGGATAAAGCCTGTTACAGACTCAGAGCCTGGGGAAAACCACCAGCTGAAGGCCAGTTAGTTCACAGCAGGCAGGAGGGTCATCAAACAAGCAGCTTAGGATATCTTTTAAGAGCTCAGAATGGCATGTGCAGGGAAGGAGTTGAGAGAAAGATTAGAGGAGGATGAAAGGCAAAAATAGAATACAATATTCATAATTATATTTAATTACCTGGTATCAAAAATCGTGTTTATGTTATCTTAGAACGAGCCATTTACACCTGCATAGGGGGCTCAAGAGAGCCTTTTGTGATTTTACATTGAAGTGGCAGCTCAAAGGCCACTGTAGGTTCTCCTACACACTTGGAAAGGGAGAGATAACCGAAGGTATTCAGTTGGTTGCAATCTGCAACCTCACCGCTAGATGCCACTGACTCATACACACTGGCCCTTTAAGTTACAAATCTCAGGAGAATGTTTTCCATTTAAATCGATATATATTATCCTAAAGGATGCATAGTGTTCAATATTTAAATGATTCTGCATTATATTATGGCAGCAACCAGTGGCCTGTTGTGTCCCAAAAGTTACTTAAACTGTGGAATTACAAATATAAATATGCAGTATATCAGTGTATGAATGTATGTCTTGTTTGAATCGATGTCTTTTTATTGAACCTGCATATGAATGTTTATGAAGAAGGGCTACACTCTGCTGTCTACTGTAGACTTTTGCTTTTCTAAACTATTCTTCTTCTCCTTATTTTTCTATCACTGTTTTTTTTTTTATAAGTATTTTGTTAATTAAACTTGTTGTGCTTGTTTTGCAAAAAACTTTTACTCAATTTGGATTCACATTTGTCGATTTTGAGCTGTTGATTTTTAACATTTGTGTACATCTTTTTTGTTAAATTATGATGATGGTAAATTAATAGTTTTGTATGCTGTGCACTTTGCAAAAATATGCTTCAGTGCTGTCATGCTAAGAGTTAGATGAGAAGATGGATACCATCCTCACAACAGACTGTAAACAAGGGGAGACAGCATGCCTGGCTCTGTCCAAACGTAACAAAACCTGCCTACAAGCACTTGAAAAGCTCTGAATAGCACATTGTACACAATTTGTTTAAGCCATACAATTTATGATTTGTTTCCCCCTGTTTACAGTCTTTGATATGCTGCTGTATTCCTGTTGTATGCAAACTACATTTCATATTATGTATGGTAACTGCATCGATAAATCATCCAGTGCATGTCAGTTCAGACTATTTCAAACTGAAAATACTCAACTGAAAGTAAAAGTCCTGCATTTAAAAACTTACTGAAGTAAAATTATATAAGTAGCAAAATGTACTTTAAGTATGAAAAGTAAAAGTATTCAGTGTGCAGTAAAATGTTCCCTGTCAGTGTTTTACTATGATATATGATATTTTTGGATGAATATTCCTGCTGCATGCATGTGTATGTTTACGGTTGTGCTCATTTTAACTCCTTAATATTCTGCTTGTTAGATTAATCTACAGTGATGCATCATATTCTATGTTTGTTGTGTGGCTGCCCTGTGACAACTTTGAATCTCTAAAAAGCCAGCTTTTCATGGTGTCAGAAAAACAGCCATTTTCAGCTTTGTGACGGGGCATTTCATCCAGCTGATCTAAGAGGGTTTTATTATTTAACAAGAGTTTATTTAGCTTAAGAAGAACACATAAAGGAGCACTTCATCCTGCAGTTTATTATAAATTTTCAAAATCACCAAATTTGGAGATACTTGGTTTTCACTGGACAGGAAGGAGTACGAAAAAAATGTTATCTGTAAGATGTCAGACAAATGTGGAGAAAGGAGTACAATATTTTTCATCTGAGATGCAGTGAAGAAGAAGTATAAAGTTGCAATACTCAAGTTAATTACAAAAACCTCTTGAATTTGTACTTAAATACAGTACTTGATGAAATGTTCTTATATTCCACAACTAATAACTATGATGGCAAGTTTACTGTGACTGCATAAAGAGTTACAACCTCTGTCCACTGGGTGTCGCACCTGCACACTTAATGTTGTGGCCCTCCTCTCAATGATTCAACACTTCAAGACTGCTTTTCTACGATTTATCTGTGTCACTGAAATGAGAAATCAATGCACTGCAGTACTGCAAGAAGAGTTGTGTTGTACCGTTACAAATTGAATTTGTGCTTAATGTATAAGTCATAAACTGTATGATATATAAACTTAGTAACTGAAGCTATATAACATTTAAAAACAACCCATGATGAGCAAGATGCTCTACAGACCAGAGCAGGGAACTTAAGTCACACAAATGATAGTAATAATAATGATTAATAAAAAGAATAGATGATAATAAAAAAACAACAAAAAAACAAGACACTGACATAAACATCAATGCACACAGCACATCAGAGGGATTCAAATGCTAGTGAGTAAAATTATGTTTGAGCCTGGATTTTAAAAAGTCAGTGGAGGGGGTGGATCTTATAGGGAGTGGGGATGCTGGTCCACAGTCTGGGTGCTGCTACAGCAAAGGTGTAGTCACCCCCTAAGTTTAGGTTACAGGACAGCCAGAAGCCCCAATTAAGCCAACCTGAGAGAACTGGAAGGAACCTGTTTAGGGCTTTATAGACAAACAGAAGAACTTTAAAATCAGTGCTGTGCTGTACCAGCAGCCGGAAGAGGAAGGCCAGAACGCCTTTACACACCAAGTCCCTATATTTTAACCAAAACTTTTGCATGTTCTAAAATAAATACAACCTCATGTTGTGTTAATAATATTTACAGGCTTACTACGAAACTTTTTATCCGTTATTAAAGTTTTCCTGTTTTCTCGCATGCATCAAAAGAGTTTTTTGTTCAAAAAGCAGTGAAGAAAATATGATGCAAACTGCAGGAAACATAGATCCACATCCAGAGAGAGGAAATGGACAGGAGTGGACAGCAGGCCAGCAAGAAAAAGAAATGGAAATAGATGGAAGCAATGTCCGCCTTAGAATCTTCCACAACAAAGAGCCTAACCATAAACATAACACAGCAAAGGTGGTGCTTACAGCAGAGTTCAATTTAATAGCTGCACAGTATCATTTTATAACTCACACAGCTGTTTTGCCAAATGAAAGATGAAGGCAGAGAGTGGAAAAATCTAGGGAGGTAACTCCAGTAAAGAGAAGCAGGGGAGCAAGTGTGTCTTTCCATTTTGTCTGGTATTGTTAATTTTCACAATGAATAGAACAATATAACGCTTCTGACTCAGTGTGCAAGATTTCAGTATGTACAGATTTTTATCAAATTGAAAAGAAGCATAGAAAAAATTTGGACTTTGTGCACAAAGGCCTTAAGGTCCCTATTCCAGGTACCTGTCAGAAGCTGGGCTGCTGTGTTCTTGATCAGTCACAGGTGGGACAGGGCTGACTGACTATAATCCCAATATAAAGGTAGTTGCAAAGGTCCAAGCATGAGGCTAAAGGTGTAGATGACTTTCTCGAAATTTTTAAATAAGCAATACGGCTTAATTTTGGCAATAGTACGAAGCTGTAAAAAGCTGGCTTTAACTACCGCAAGATGGATGCAGGGGGACAACTTCAGACTTGCTTTCATACAGCTGCAGGAAGTTCTGTGCTATCTAAGTCTTGATGTCCTCAAGGCAGTTCACAAGACTGATTAGATTTGATTGGTTGGTTTTAGGGGGAGATAAAGCTGTCATCAGCATAACAGTGGAAGGAAATGTCCTACTTTTGAATGATTTGGCCGAGGGGAGGCATGCACATATAGAACTGAATGGGACCTAGGACAGAACCTTGTGGAACACCCCAGGGAGAGAGGCAAAATTGCCTATGTTGAAAGAGAAGCTCCTATATTTGAGGTGAGATGTGAACCAATTTAAGTATGGCCAGCAACACCAACCCCCTGCTAGGAGCGGTTGATGTCGTAGTCCACTGTATTGATCGCCGTGCTGAGGTTAAGAGAAATCAGGATGGCACAGTCTTTGCAGTCAATGGAGAGAACTTTCAACACGGCAGACTCTGTGCTATGGTAAACCCTGAAACCTGAAAGAAGTCTTTCCAAGATGTTATGTTCGTAGGGCAATACTTGTCAGCACGTGTCCTGTAAATCTACAACATTCAGGTTTAAATTTAGCTTCCCAGTTAATTAGAGACACAAAACAACGCTGAAAGCCCAGACTCCTGAGGCCGACCCTGATGATCAGAACATAGAAGGCCACTGTATTACCACTTCATAAACAGATAATATCATGCACATGATCGGCTCCCCCCTCCATTTGCACAAAAAGAGGTTTGTTTCAGTCTGTAAAGCAGAGCCATCTTAGAGATGGGACTCAGCAGTGTTTGTGTACCTCACGGCGGAGATACTACACCATACAGGAAGAAAGGAAAGTCCCTGCTGGATTCCAACTCATTTGTTTCTAAAGAGGTTATGGATAACATTGCACTCCATTGCATCGCAGGAAATCACTGATATCATATTATTTGGGTCATCTGTGCTCCAGGTTTACTGCTCCGAAAGTGATCTGGCCTTAGCACTGATTAAGGTCAACAATAAAACTTTTTTTGCCCTTAGGGGCAGCGGTCTCAGTTTTGATGTATGTGTTAATGCCCACCATATGACCACAGAAACAGAAGCGTTCTCTGAGAGAGCTGCTCTTACTGTAGGTATTCAGCCTTTCTGTCATGTTTTTGAACCCACACTGCAGCCAATATACTTTGGAAAGAAGACTGAAGTCTTTTTTTGTATCAAACCTGTATGAATAGACTTTTTGGCAACCTGTGAGCAGCAAGTTACAAACGACACAATATTATCACCTTATAAAGCAAATTGATATACTGAACACATTCACAACCAGCTGCTTTTTTACACATCCAGCTGACACAGGTCTCCATCAACACCTGACAGTAATGTCACTGATGAACAATGTAATCATTAGCTTGTGCCTATACTGTGTCTGTCTGCTGTTTGATGCTGGGCAGGGTGTGTAAAATTCATTTTTTGGACCCTTTTTCACAGAAAACAGCCACCTGCTGCGGCTGAAAGCATGAACCAGAATGAACCAAAACATTTAAGTTCCTGACCATAAAACCAAAACAAAGAATTGAGAGGTGCTAAGAAAAAAAAGCTCTGTAGAGCTGGGGGAACAGCTGAGTCAGGTTTTAATTCTTTGTTGGTTGCCTCATCATGAGTGACCCCATTCACATTATACCTCATCCATTGTTACTAAAAAATATTGATTAAAGTTGCTTGAAACATGAACTCTATTTATGTCTTTTAATCTCATATACTTCAGTAGATACTTGCCAATAGAAAGAATTTCCTCACAAAAGAAAACAGGGGAGACAGGAGAAATTCGCAGAAAATTGTCAATTTCTTCATGCTTGTCACAGTTCATGGCTTGGTCTGCAGTTAAGCTCTACTACAAACCTGACATTCGATGCAAGCAGACTTGATTCGCCACAGTCTGAAACCCCCACCTTATCAATGAGTGATAGAGGAAAGCAGCCAGCAAACCAGACTCCCCAGTCAGGCCTGAAACTATGTTGGTATGTGGACACAGTATAAATCTAAACATGTTTGTACAACAGCAGAGAAAACAGAATTCCTGAAGAGATCTTTTGTCTGGTCCATTTAGTATCCTTATTACAATCACAATAGTTTGATTTGTAGGGCAGTTTTCAAGCAAGGGAACACAAAGTGCTTTACATAAGCCTGTTTTACACTGCCTATACAGGGTGGGAATGTCACGCCATTTTTCCTCCTTGCTGTTCTGTATAAACGGAACATGGGGGCAGAGTTGTCTTACCCATAAGCCAGCAGCGGAGGTAGTAACAGCATTGAATCGATGTCTGTGTAAAAGTGAGAGCTGGCAGGATGGGACCGGTGTGATGTTTTGACAACGTGGTGGGAGATTTAAAAGGCAGCTAGAAGCAGTTAGTACCTAACTCAAAGACGAAGGACAGTGACTGAAAATGTATGCAAATTTGGGAGATAGTGAGGTCTGGAAGCTCCTAACCCTCTGAGCAGAGGATCAGCTTCCACATAACCGGGACAGTAAATGATTGATTAAAAAAGCAAAGCTGGTATAATGAAGGGTTGTCTATGTGGTTCTGTCGTGGTATTTCTGTGCAACAGGGGATATAGACAGCACAGGGTGACCATATTTTGATTTCCAAAAAAGAGGACACTCGCCCCAGCCATGAGATAGCCTACTTAAATGATACTCGCAGTTTACTCAGAGATGCCTTATAATTTTAATATATTTAAAGTTTATATGTATGGATAGAAAATTCAGTTATATTACAAAATAATATCTCTGAAAGACAGAAATTTAGATAGGCTTCTCAGAGGTTACTCAACTTATTTTTATTATGCCTAAAA